CCCGTCACACCAACCATGCCTGCAGACACAAAGCTGCTTGTCACCCATTGTAATGGACAATGACACTACAGCCTGAAGGAAAACACTAATATTTTTTACTTCCTTTATTTTTTGTTATTGTTTTCCTTCATCAGCTTTCACTCCGCTTCACTGTATTCTTTACATCTGGGAGAAAACTCCTGAAGTTAACTTTGCAACTGGTATATGTCAAAAGAAGACTGAATTCCTTCTCTTTGGAATTAAAATGACAAAAGCAAAATTTCAAGTCCATTTATCACAGATGAAAACCTGTTCAAGTTCTTTTGTTTAAAGTACAGTGAACTGGAGTTTCATAAAAAAGTGACCAGGATTAAGAAGTCTAGAAGAAAAATTGCTGTGAGCACTGAAACTGTCGAAGTCTAAGAAAACAATTGACTAACTGGAGTTAAGAAAATACAATACAAAATGTAGGGAATCAAAACATAAACATTGTATGAATTATCTGTGATGCTTCTTAGGATACAAAATTCCATGCAGCTGTAGACAGACACATCCCTGAAAGGAGAAAACGCCAGAGCTTCAGGAGGCACAATGAACACCTTTCACTGCATTTGATAAATAAAGGAAATGAGACTTCCAAGATTTAAAGGCACTGACTTTAAGGAAGGAAAAAGCCCACACCTGTTTTATACCAAGCAGGCACTCATGCCATCTTCAGATATCTGAGTGACTATTTTGTGTTTTGAGGAATAGTGTCTGTTGAAATCAAGATATGATGAGCACTAGTGCACTCACACACACTTCCAAATGACTCCAAGGACAAACAGAAAAACGAAAAACAGGAAGAAAATAATGGAAAACAGTTCTGTTCACTGATGGATTAAGTGACTCATCCCTTGTTTTAATGAGCAACTGATCCAGCAATCAGGGAAAGTACTCTGCCTGCAGGCCAGTAACAAGTGGCTACCTTCTCTGGAAATATGAACACACCAAATAACTGCACAGTGATGACCAAGTTTCTGTGTGATTCAGAGAGCAGAAGACACAAAGCTACATTCAACAATTTAAAACAAATATTTAAAGAAAGGAAACCCAACTCAAATTGCCCACCACAGTACAGACGTGCTTTTCCCAGTGGAATTCCAACAGCTCTGTGCTTCTAAGTGAGGTGAAAACTTCTAATGCATCACCAAGTAAAAATCAGTTTTATTCTAGCCCCAAAAGCAAAATCCATTTTGCTATGATAACTTGATTTTCATATTACTATAAAATATTCTAATTTGGATTTTTAAGAGTTCTGGATTTTCCGAGTTCCCAGCCATGGTGGACGTGATCTGATCCCAACACACTTTTTTGTCTTTCTCAAGGAGATCAATATTCAACCTCACAAAGATAAGCATGCCAAAATCCAACAATAATTTAACTTTCTTCATTTTAACAGAAACAAAACATGAAGGCAGGGATACAGACCAAAGGATGCTGGTAAAGAACAGGAGTTCTCCCATTGCCAATTCACCCCCAGGGTGGTGAATTCAAGCACTGCAGCTCTGAGGAGCTCTGACTCAATCTGCTGAAATGCAGCCACCCCCTTCCCACTGCAGGGAACACAACTGAAGGGGCTGCTCAGAGATTCCAGCACACAGTCCTACATATGGAGTTAATAAACTGGCTCTTCAGCATCTGCTGCAATTCCTCTTGTAGCTCATGCTCATCTTTACCAAAATACCCATCCTCTCCTTCTGCAATAAGCACTGGGTATATTTCGAATATTGTTTTCACTCACTTATACTGCTCACAGAAAGATTTACCAGAATGTAGCCTGGATCCTAAATGACCATAATTTTTCATGGAATTTCTTAAAGCACACACAAAAGAAGGATTTCAAACTTTCAAAAAGTCCATATTGTTGAATAGTGCTCTACTTATTAAAACCTGGAGATTCTGTAATTTAGGACAGTATGGAGATATATGACCAAAGTGACTAAAATATTCTATTAAGTCAGTCAGCTTCACCCAAAGCACCAGAGGCAAGGAAGTAATAGTTCTGGGAGTTCAGAGAACATACCTGCTGAGTTAGTAGTTGGTACCATGCATTTGAAAAAGGCTTTAAAAACATAGTTCTGGCAGTAGCACTTACTTATCATTTCCTATCACAAGTATATTAACAGCTAACCTTTGTCATCTGCACCAATTTCGTGCTTGCCTGGTTTTTGATGATGAGATTTACCCACATTTCTTACTTGAATTTATGCTTCAGATTCTTAATACGAATAATTATCTGGGAATTGCTTGAGTACTGTTATAAATTCTGTTAAACTGTTATAATTTTATTTAAAAGCAGGTACAGAAATCAAGTGTTTTTTAGCTTTCCATTTAGGATTTACTCATATCATAGATAATAAAAACTAACAATTATTGAACAATCAATATTCAGGGATGTTAGATGTGATCTGAAGAAGCAAATAGTGTTTTCAGAAACTAAAGCTACTTCATATATATTTATGAAATGTCTAAAATGTTCTGGCACCTATTTAGCTAAATCTATATATTCACATAAAACTTGAAAACACTGACTATTTCTTTATCCCTTAGAGTTTGAAACAAAAAACAGAAGTGCCAAACTTTAGGATATTGTGGGTTTTAGTGGTCAAGGTAATACAGAAAAATACTTTCTTTAACTGTGCATACCGCATTTCTTTAGTGCAAGGAAGATCATTCACATTTGCCACCTGTGAAATTTTCCAATGATACTTCTTCAAAGGTGGAAAGGAAAAAAGTCACAAACTGCTCAATTTGTGTGATGGCTAAAAATCTTCAAGGCACTGAGCACAGCTCTCTATAAGACAGTTTAGAATCTGTTACTACTCTTACAGTGCATTTTTATTCTTAGAGAAAACGTCACTGAACCAGTAGCCGCAACAAAACATTCCAGTAGAAAAAGAATGAAATTAAATAGGGTGGGAGTTTTTAACAATGCATATCGTGGTCTGAAGCACTAACATTTCAATAATATTCTGCTTCTTTTTTCAATATAACTTCTACTTATCTTTACCTTATCCTAAAACTTTTTTGTTCTAGGATATACAATATCAGTATCTTAGTAGATCAAGCATTAATTGCAGAGCTAATCACAGATTTTGTGCTTCATAGTTTTAAATAAAGTCCTTACAGAGCAATACTTTTAAAACATCTTGCTATAATCAGGACAGTTCTAAAAATGCCTATTTAGATGTTTCTGATTCAAGAAGTAAAATGTCCATTTCATCTTTCAGTCTGGAACACAAAACCTATAAAGGAACAGTTTTAAACTATATTTTTGCCTGGTTGTTGAATAGTTGTTATTGTCAAATGGGTCTGCTGCTTTGGCCAGGCAGGGTGAGAAGCATTTTGTCACATCCTCAGAAACAGAATACTGGATAGGAGAAATGTAAAGGCATGTTTATCAAAGTACATTGAAATCCATTTTGTTATCAAGCACATTCAAATTGTCTTTAAACACAATTATTTTCTTTATCAATAATACTAAATGTAGCCAGGGCTATTACTGTTACCACCGTGATTTGCCACAATCACAATACACCTCTTTCCCATTCAGTAAACAAAACAAAACCCCACAAACAAACAAACAAACCTAAGCCCACACAAAACAAGAAACAAAAAAACCTCTTATTAAAATTATTCTTTCAGGCTACAAACTGCTGACATCCTACCTGTGCATTTACCCAGAACAAAGTGCATGGGACAGACCATCACACCAGGAGGGACAATGCCATGTACTCAAAGTGCCTGCAGCTCAGCTTTTCTAAGGCTGCACACCAGGGCACAGAGCACCAACAAACTGCTCTTAGTTCACCTCTGCTATTTGTCACAGGATCTGGTCTGTTATACTTGAACAGACTTTGCTTTCTTCTATATGGGTTTGTAATCTAAACGTTTGCAAAATCATAATCAATTTTAGAGCTTGCTGTCTCCTCATGAGAAAAAAAGATAAAAAAACCCTGAAATATAAAAAAAAACCCCAAACACCCAAAACATCACTAGACTGACCTTTAGGCAATCACCATTTTTTTGCTCTGTTTGTGGTGAATGAGGAGAAATGAGATATTTTACATCACCTACTAAACTCTTCTCCATTAGCCAATGCCCTGGGTACAGAAAACTTCAGGCTCTGTTCATTTCTGTGCCCTTTTTGGCAACAACAATAAACAGAATTTGGACCATTCACAGTATTTAAGAGTCTGATTCTTTAGGTACAGTTCCTCAGAGCACAGTGATTAAAGTCAATAGAGAAGCCCTACTGTGAACTTGTGAAATAAAGTCATGGCCATTCTAGAAACACAGAAATTCTGATAAACATACCTGTCTGTCACTGTTCATATTTTGTGTGCACTTCATGGTTATTGGGAAATATCTCCACAGCAAGATTTCAAAGCACTGTAACTAATCCGTGTATATTCGTGTTTGTGGCATTTTATAAGATAGCTGAACTTTTCAGAAGTCTTTCAGATGAGTTTTGTTCACATTCTAGAAAAGTTATTCATTTGCAGCTGAATCTCTGCACTGCTGCCAGAACCAAATCTCAGGCATCAGCTACTGCCTTTCACAATTAATCTCTAACACATGAAAGTGTTTGTACTGACGTGCTGTGCTTTTTTAAAAATAACAAGCTATTGAACAGAGCCATCATTTAAATAATTCCATAAAAGTGTTTATAGAAAAACCACACACATGAATTAGTTGAGTTTAGCTGGCTTTTCTTAATCACTGCAATATATGGTACAAACCCAGCTAATCTTTAGGAGGTGTGAAGACTGTACCACTGAATATGAAATACACAATTATATAATGCAAGATTCCAGCAGCTGCTTTTAATTGGCCAGGACCCTCCACTGGTGCAAATAAGGGAACAGAGTTTGAAGGTCTCCTTTCAGGCATTTCTCAAGGTTCAGAAGCTGGTTAAGATACTGCTTTCATGGTAGAGTCATCAGGATTTCAGTCAGAAGATAAAAAAAGCAATTTACCTGAAGAAGGTGACAAAGAACTGCACCAGATCCATGATAGTATTGTGCTGTGAGAAGGCAATCTGCAAATAAAATAGAAGTAAATTACAACATTTTCAGACTCAATAGCTCTTTTTAGGCGAGGCCTTTATGGCTCCATGGATGATTACTTTCAAGTGTAATTTCAGTCTAGTCTGCAGACACCCGCATTTATGACAAAGTGAGATGAGCAACTAATTCCCATATCCTTGCTGGTATCAAAATACAAACAATGGAATATAATACTTTTGCTGAAGTAAATTTAATAGAAATATCCACTTAATATGAACAATAAAAACAATATGAAAAATATTAATAAATCATATTGTTATAAATTGTCTTGTTCATAGTCAACTGTTTTGACCAACACCATCTTCCATTTTAATAACAACACTGAAACAAGGTTTTAGAGAAGACAAACAACATATAGTGCTTAAAATTAATGCATTTAAAATATTTTAATTGTATAATATTAAAATTAATGCATATGTTAATTTAATTTTTTTAAAAGATAAATCTGGTGCATAATAAAACTGTTTCAAAGCAAATTACTTAAAAGACAAAGTAATCAATATTCTTTTGGGCTACATTTTTACAGCCTCACCAGAATATGCATTAGTTCAGCTCCTTGCTGTAATTTTTGTGAATATTTAAGACTTATCTCTAAGACAACATATACATAGAAACATTCACACTTGCATGCAATACTGACTATAATTATTTCTGTAAGTATTTTTTGCTAATGTTAAGAATAGTACTTAATATTTATATATTAAGGTATATCTACAAATATCCCTAAGTCTCCGTCCTGGTCAGTTTTTCAGTCTATAATTATCAAACTAAAGATACAGAGAATCTTCTACTTTGAATTGTACAAAGTGTTTATCTAATTATATTTACAGTCCTTTCAAATAATTATTTGGTTTAGAAATCTTTGTGCATTTAAGATCTGATCTTGACTAGTAATTACACCAAATTACTCTGAATGCCTTTCATAGCTCACTTGTGAAGTTTTGAAATGATAATTCATGATACTCAAGAATTTAGGGGCTTCCCCCCCACCTTTTTTTTTCCTTCTAGGCCAAAGCTATACTGTGCCTTGTGCCAGCCAGACACAGCTGAACATAGATCAATTACCTGAAAGATAACACCTGAGAAAAGACCAGAAGACGACTTTGGCCCAATATAAAGTGCATCCCAAGCATAAACAATTGTTTAAGTAGCCTTGAACAAAACTGAAAGCTTTCCAAATTAATTTTTTTAATATTTTAAATGCCATCTGGATTTACTTCAAATACTATTTAGTACTCAAACTGACTCCTGATGTTTCCAGAATGCTTTTTACATGTACCATACTTTAGGTGATGAACTAGCACAAAGAGAAAAAATGCCAGTTTTCATAGAGTTCACCTTTTGTGACCTGTCGAAATGCTCTTTGTTGAAGGAGCATTTAGATTTTGCATTACTACAATTATTTTCATTCAAGGTGTCAGTTTTCCTTAAGAGCCTCTGTGAGTCGAGAAACAACTCCAGTCTGCAATCAAACCCCACAATCTGATCACAATCATATCAACAAAGCTTGATCTCACATTTTTTTTAAGAAACTATAGTGCCTCTATTTCTCTTTTCCAACACACAACAAAATTGAAGTAAGCAGATCTATAACATTTCAATGATTTTATATCACTATCAATATTTAAATTATTTGTATAGTCCAAAGCTCAGGGATATAAAGTTTTTGCACAAAAATGGACATAAAAGGAATTATTCCATATTTTCCAACTTCTATTAATCTAATCATCTACTCAAGATAAGTGCAAAGTTCTACTGATGGTGTCCATGTGTCCAAATTCATGCAAGAATATCTCTCTGTGAGACTTGCTTAGTTGGCTGTATGGGATTTTCCTGAAAGTACTCACATTTTAAAGCAGAAACACAGAAAGCTTCATCCCAAAAATAATTTCCAATTTTAATCAAACATCTTCTAATAATTACATTAGGAGTTCATGTTTAAAAGATGAACTACAGTGTTTTGTGAACAGTATCATGCATCTTTGACTAATTTCAACACGGAGTATTAACAAAAAGAATACAAATTTTAATTATAAGTAGACCACAAAGAAGCAAGTAAATGTCATGAACCTAGGACTGATACAAAGAACCATAATACAATTAAAAATATTTATATCCATTGGGATTTCATATAGATATGAATGTAATTGTCTTTTTGCTTGTGCCTATATAGATAAGGCACAAGAAAAGAAAAGTTCTTTCAACCCAAGGTTTTCACTTTGGACTTAAAGATACTGGAGACAAGTATCTCCTTTGTTAATTTGCATCATACCTTAGTAGCTTTCATTTTCCCCAAAACATCTAAAAAGCTTATGGAACCCTCACATTATCTCTGTGTTCTCTTACAAATAAGGAAGAAGATAAATATCCTTTCCATCATTTCCTATGGAACAGAAGCAAGTGCTGTGTGGTAAAGGATAACCTCTATGAGCTATTGCTATTATTATCATTGCTGTTAATGTTGTGGTTGTGAACTGAAATTGTATCTCATCAGATCAAAGTAACACCAATACACTACAGATTAAATGTAGAAAACTGTGATTGAATGAAAAGATTCCAAAGCAAATGTGGGGTGTACATGTATATGCATATGCATATGTATATGTGTTCCAGCTCAACGTCTTAAGAGATAAAAAAGCCTATGAAGAAAAGGCTGATGAGTGATAAATGAAATGTGGGGATTCTTCCAACAAACAAAAGACATGTCTAAATAAAGTTTTTGAAAAATATTATTTTTAAAAAGCAAGTAAATAAACTTTTTAAACAATAAGTGGTCAAATTGGAAGACAAGGCTTTGTGACTGCTGGCAAATCCTTTATAGCAATTAAGGATTCGATAGTCAGATAAGCAGCACAATGTGCCAGAGAGCACCGACACAAGGATGCACTACAATCAACATTTCAATGCATGGTACTTCTTAACTTTTCATGTTTTGGTTATGCACATGATGTAGGAAATACACTTCACACTGAACAATGATGGATGGAGTAGGTCTGTTGAAAGAGGAACAACTTCTGAATACAGATTTTTCCAGCCGTCAGAAGTTAATGTCTGAAGGAATGGATTCATTTTTTCCCATTGCTCCACTTCATCTTTACCTTGACTATTATGTGCAGCAGTAATAGAGTCCTACAGAACAATAGGTCAAGATCTGTTCCATGAAAAAAATGAAACAATTTTAAAAGTCTAACTCAGGGACAACTTTCATATGGAAATAGCAAGTATACCCTTAGAACTTTGATTTTTGTTTAAAATATAGGTGTCAAGAAGCCATCTCCACAATTCTAATGACACAAATTGCGCAAAAGGTAAAGGAAAACTAGGCACTAAATCAAAATTGCACATTTGCAGAAAACAGGAACCTAATCCATTTAAATGTTCCATATATTTAAATAATATACACAAAAAGCAATTATAATCTGTGCTCCATTTCATGACATTACCCACTAAAGCAAACTGCTATCTGCTCAGGCTCTGAAACCATGAACAAATACTTCTGTTAATACAATTTTTCCATCTTCTACTGTTAACAAGTTAAAAATGAACAAATAAGAGAAACTAAAATAAATACATGGCCAAACTCTGATAGAAGGTCTAATTATTAAACCTGGAAACATAATGCAATAAGGTCAGACATAACCCAAACTAAATTGCCTGGACTGTGTTGATTATGCAGACTTATACCTTGCAGAATTATTACTTCCTTCAGTATCATCAAAACCATAATTTAATTTATTCTTGGATAAAACTATTATACACTCCCACACTGGTGCTAGGTATGTACTAAGTCAGAAGAAATGGATACTGACTGAACATAAAGGCTGACATATTTTGGTGTCCATCATTTTTCTTGAGGGACACTTTCTGACTGAGGCAACTTCAGACAAAAAATATGAAAGCCAGCTGAGGAAAATATTAGTGCAGATGGCTACATTTTTGTGTAGAAATTTTTTAATAAGGAAAATGTAAAAGATCAAAGGCGGTGATAATATGGAATGGGGATGATAAAAAAATTTAAACACATAAATTCTCACATTTACATTTCATTGTACAAAGTGAAGTTTAGATATCTACTCTGCAGAAACATAACTGTAAAGACCCTAGAATAAACTGTTTTAAAGACATTACTATGAATTACATAACAATTTTGGGATGAAGAATGGTACCTAAGGATATCTCCAAACTCAGTGATTACACGACTACTGAAAAATCAGGAGTTACAAAGGAAAAGATGCTCTGATTTTTTTTATCAAAATATAAATATGATTATAAGTGCAATTATATATTGGGATATCTTTAGAGAGAGTAAAAATGGTTCTGACTCTTCTTTCACATTGATCTTCGAGTATGAAGAGTGGCCTGCAGAAGTGAAAGATAGATGGTAGGAAATTGCCAGTTTCCCAATAGAAATATTTAATAGGCAAAGCAAAAAATAATTTTTCCTTTCCTTTGGAAAACAGAAATTCCAAGAGAACGTGGCAAGGAAAGGACAAGATTACCAACAAATTATATCTGTCTAAATAAGAGAAACATTAAACTTTTGGAGGCTAAAAGTGCCACAAATTTATTCCATATATTGGCTTTCCTAGAACTTGAAAAAGAAACTTTGAAATGTATCTGAATTTTGCCACGTGGAATATATCTGATCTCGTCCCATGTGTGAACCTAGGCTAAATTAGTCAGCTAGCTTATAATAACCAGCAGAGATAGGAAGGCACTTCATAGGTGAGTGACTCTAAAATAGATGTGGAACTCTCATAAATTGAGAGGAATTACCCTATGGAGCTGCCATTTCTCTCCACTAACAACACTGGGATTCTGTGATTAGTTTAGACTATAGACCTAATGTCAAACTTAGAATATAAATAATGTTAGGTGAGATAAATTTCTCCCATGGTTTGCAAGTACTCTCCGAGTATTTCTGTAAAACAGTGTAATGATAAAATAGGCAAAAGAAATATTTGTTGCTGGG